AACTCGCATTTTTTAAAAAAATTCAATTATTTCATTAACATTTATTATTTTTGCGATACAAATTTCTCAATGTAATTTTTATCATTTTATTAGGAAATTTTATATGGAATATGACATCAAATTTTTTTGAAATTTTACATACGAAAAAGTCATATCCCATATAAATTTTCGGATGTAAAATTACATGATGTATGATTTTTTTAGACGTAAATTTTCTATTGTAAAATTTCTCCCAACTTTTTTGGAAGTTCGACTGTGCCTCCTAACTTTTAAGCTCTGTGTCTGCCCATATACAAGATTATCATCTCTTTACAACGAGTTGATAATTTTCATTTAATTATGTTCTACATTGTGAGTCGGGCACTTTAGTGAGCTTGACGCCTTGACGAGCACTCTATGCTCATCGTGGTGAACTTCACTATGAATTGGGCTGACTTTAACAACTTGAACGACTTAACAAAGGCTGACACTCAAGTTCTATCTAGACACCATGCTCAATTAAAGTGCCTTTCTTGGCTCTAAACTGATCTCATTTGGACATTAATAGAAGAAAGCTGCCACCTAACAAAGTCAAGACTCGTGAGTGGTAGACATGGATCTGTATTTTTGTAAAATAAGTGTAACTTTTGGTATTTTTCTAATTGACAAATTTTCAATGTATAATTTATAATTGTAGTGGTGAAAATATTTCGCTAGCCTAAACAGCCCAAGTCAAAAAATAAAGCCCACAGACGGTCCACTTAACAAACGCGACATCTTTGGCCCAACTCGTTATGTCAATCGGTCCGAATGCACGGTTCAAAACTCACTGTCAATTTAAAACCCCTAATAATTTATCTTCAAGATAAATTACGCTATGATTTGACCAGACCAAATAGGATTTATCTGTAAACAGCTTAGAAATCTCAATCAAATAGATCTAATCGGATTCAGCTCCAACCAACTCAAAAATCTGGCAGAGTCCTCGCCAATCCCGTCTAGACGATTATCCCACTCCTATAAATTCCATGGTTAGTCAAACGTTTAGGTATAAAAAATTACAATACTTTAAGTTACTTCTTATTTCTTTTTGCCTGGTATTAGTATAATTCTTGACAAATTTTACCGACTTGATCATCATGGGTCTTCGATCGACACCACACCGGTGTCCTCTTAAGATCTTTTGGGGTCCTTCCTCGTTCTACTTTTCTTGAGTTTTGTAGGATTGTGATGGCCTGATCGATCCGATTTTCTCAATTGTAGAATCTACCTTCTACCGTAACTTAGTTTTGTTTCCTTGTATATGCGTTACTCAACTAAATGACGTCATGAACAAATTAATTTAATGTTGATTCATTGTTTATTCTTTTCAATGTTGAATTATTGAAAGAGTACACCATCATTATTAGATATGCTTTGCTGTATAGTAGTGTATAGACTATTGAATTATCAATTAGATGACGTTACTAGCAATTAATTACTTGATAATCTATTCTATTCCATGTAACAAAAATAGGCTTTTTTATGTTATGACAGTGATTCCCCGTGTAGTTTGATGTTGTTTCCAAGATGGGTAATTGGCGTAAAACGTCTTACCTTTGAAGGTTTTTGTGAAAAACGTCCTTACCTTTCATTTTTTGGCGCAGAACGTCCCTACCTTTCACATTCTTTGCGTTGAACGTTCTTTTCACCAATTTTTAATATAAAATGACCAATATACCATCTTATATAAATAAAACAAAAAAGAAAATAAAAATAAAGAATAAATTGCAATATGCTCCTAAATTTTTTAAAAAATACAAATCAGTTCAAAACTTATGAAAATATTAAAAATAACAAAAACACACACTCTCTGTCTTCTCCTCCACCACCTCCGCCGTCTGATGACCACATCTACTCTT